AACCCTAACCCTAACCCTAACCCTAACCCTAACCCTAACCCTAACCCTAACCCTAACCCTAACCCTAACCCTAACCCTAACCCTAAGTAAGCAGAAATTATAATTAGTAAAAGTAGCTGAATTTTATTATTTATATATATTCTAATTAACCTCTTATTAGCTCTCTTACTCGTATTAAAGGGTAGGTCAGGGGATTATCTTAGCGCTAATAGTAAAAACTCTTAGGATGTACCTCCGTACTTATAAGCTAGACCTAATATATTATGTGAATCTATGATGCGCCTTCTTATTACGGAAGGTAGTATTGTCACTCCCCCTCCCCCCCCTAGGACTTATCTACTTAAACCAATCAAAGTGAAGCTATGAGGGGCTCTTGTTACTGATTATTGCCCATGTACGTACCTACGTTGCTTGAAGGATTGCACCGTGCCTCTCTCCATTCCTTATCTTACGAGATTTGGTAAGTTTCACTTGTATTTATATCCTTATGTTCGCTCAAAGCCGACCCAGTACTGTGGGGACTAGATTCTTGCCCAGCTATACGATCACACCCTTTTACCAACAAAACCTTCAATAATTGATTAGGCTTTACAAAGTATCTATGACCCAGCATGAACAATGTGTCAAATGTCTGCCACGATGAGCTTTTCGGGCCAGCCGTCGCCACGGAGTCTTGTCGAGGCGGGTTTGACTTCACAGGTACGTGGCCCTTGAATGATAATGCAATACTTTGTAGCTAGTCACTGACATGATCTTTCCATAGTGCTATTTGAAGAAAGCGTCCTGTCTATCCCGCTTTCGGTTGGGTTTCTCCTGATTGCCCCTATTCAGGTGGCCCGTATCTTCAAAGCCGTTTCGGCTGTGAGGCCATCACTGCTTCTATCGATTTTCAAACTCGTTTGTACTTCTCAGTCACCCTTGTCGTTACACTCTTTTGTCATTATTAGCAAGTTTATTTCATTAACATAGGCTGACAGGTGTCGACTCTTGTTTATGCCGGACTTAACTTGGCCTTGCTGATCTTATGGGCTTCGGGACATGGATTTACCACTCGCGCAACCCTGGCCTCATCCGTGTTAAGTCTCTGCGCCGCTCTCGCCCTCGCTGTCCTGTCCCAGGTTCAACATGGCAAAAGCCCACGGCCATCTTTCATAATCACTGGTTATCTCATAATTTCACTACCTCTGAACGGCGCGCGCGTCCGAACCGCCTGGCTCATGGCATCGGACAAATATCTCATGCCAGCTATTCTCACCGCTGCTCTGGTCGTACAGGTTCTGATTCTCGTCCTAGAGACCAAGAACAAAAGGAAAATTCTGGCTGGTGCGTATCGCAACTTCTCACGCGAGGCAACAAGTGGCCTCCTCAATCGTGGGCTTTTTTGGTGGTTGAGATACTTGCTTTCTGATGGATCCCGGCGCATCTTGGCCGTTGAAGACCTCGAGTCCATCAATGAAAAGCTTAGATCTTCCAAGCTTTCGAGTGAGCTACAGGTTCGATGGATGAATAAAAGTAAGAACTATCTGAGCCCTCTTCCACCGAGATCGTCGTCTAGTACTCTGACCTTGCCTCACGCATCAGAGAAAGTGGACCAAAGTCGGCACAAGCACGCCTTAGCTCTGGCTACGCTTTCGGCCTGGCGGTTGGAAGTTGCCAAGATTGCGCTTCCTCGTCTTTGTCTGATTGCACTTAGCCTTGCACAGCCTTTCCTCATCCACCAGATCGTAGAGAATATATCGGCTCCTGTCAGTCAGCAAAGTTCGAACCAAGGATATGGCCTGATCGGTGCCGTGGCTTTAGTCTATACAGGTATACCCGTAAGCTCAACTTTCTTCCTCCCTCCCGGGTTACTGCTGATCAGATATGTGTGTCACAAGATTGCGACAGGCTTTTATCAGCACCTTTCGTTTCGACTCATGGCTATGGTCAGGGGAGGTCTCATTTCCCTGATCTATGAGAAGATTGCGCAATCGCTGTCGACGCAAGTCGGTGACTCTGCTGCGATGACCTTGATTAGTACAGACGTCGAACGAATCTGCGAGACGTGGCATCTTGTGGTTGCCGAAAGTTGGGCGTGTGCCATTCAGCTTGCTTTTGCTGTGTGGTTCTTACAGATGCAAATCGGTCCCGTTTGTGTCACTCCAGTCATCGTTGCGTTGGGTAGGTCAATGTACTCATGTCGATTGGGCTTAGAGTTGCTTTATTCACGGGTTTATGGTGCTAACTTTACGACTTGGTAGTGGCGACCGCCATGTCAGTCAGAGCGGCCGGGTTTGTGACTGCCCGCCAGAAGGTCTGGCTCGAGGCGATTCAAGCGAGGATTAATTTTACCGCACATATCCTAGGCTCGATGAGAAGTGTCAAGATGTTGGGCCTTAGCAACAAATTTGAATCTCTCATACAGGGTATGCGTGTTACTGAGCTGGACCTTTCCAAAAGGTTCAGGCGCTTGTCCAGCTTCAATGTCTGCCTTGGTAAGCTGAAGCTTAACTCCTAAATTGATCCAGCGCAAGCACTGATGAATCGCAGTAAACTTACCCTCGCTGTTCTCCCAGTTCTTTACATTCGCGATCTTTGCAATGGCCGCCAAAGTTCAGGGTAACAGCTTTGTGACGGTGTCGCAGGCAGTTACAGCCCTGTCCATTCTCTCCGTCCTCATGGAGCCTCTAGGCATGATGTTAGTGGTGATTCCTCAAGCATATGCTGCCTTGGGTTGCTTTCAGAGAATCCAGGACTTCCTTGCTACCGAGTCCTGGGACGACAAACGACTGCCTGAGTGCCCGCTAGAAACAACGAATCTGGAGAGCCACGATGAGCCGGATATGATTCAGACGCCTCCGGGTTACAACCATGTGGAAATAATTCAACGTCCACAATCAACACCAAAAAAGCCTCTTCCTCGTACGATCTTCAACTCCGACCATGTGATCATCCATAAGGCTACCGTTGGCTGGCAAGGCTCCAGCCATGTAATCAAAGACATGTCACTGCGCATTGGTCAAAATCATCATCTCACAGTCATTTTGGGACCAGTCGGTTGTGGCAAGTCTACAATTCTAAAGGCCATTCTCGGTGAAGCCACCATATTCAACGGCTCTGTCTGGGTCAGTAGCAAGGAGCTAGCCTATTGCGATCAAAGCCCATGGGTTTCGAACGGCTCCGTCCGAGAAAACATTGTCTCAGGAACTGACTTCGACGCTGCTTGGTACGATACTGTCATTCACGCTTGCGCTTTACAAGTAGATCTGCTGCAGTTATCGGACGGTGACGCGACGAATGTCGGTAGCAAAGGGGTTTCGCTCAGCGGTGGGCAGAAGCAACGCCTGGTAAGAACTGCCTCTGCACCTGACTATTGTATTGCGTACTGAGATGAAATAGACGTTAGCTCGGGCACTTTATGCGCGCAAGCCTATCGCCGTCCTGGATGATGTACTGAGCGGCCTGGATGCCGCCACCCACGACATCGTCACCATGCGTGTCTTCGGAGCTGATGGACTGATCCGGAAGCTGGGTATGGCAGCCATTTTGGCCACGCATTCTGGTGAGTAACAGTGAATTTTGAGTAGCTCATAAGGCGTTTAGGAAAACGTGTCGTTCCTACTAACGACCACACATAGTGAGTCTATGCGCCATCGCGGACCAAACTATCATACTTGACGACCAAGGACATATCACTCAGCAGAGCTCATCTAAGAATATGGCTTCTCTTGCGCCACAAATAGCCGGAGACGATGGCTCTTCGGCGAGCTCAGGAAATAGCCCACCTCCCAAAATTTCAGCTGGTGAAACTCAGAGCTCAAGCACGAAACGAGACGACAACAGACAGGTGGGAGACTTGTCCATCTATCTATACTACTTCTCGTCTTTGGGATGGCTTAGCTTCGCCTTGTTCGGTATCTTCGTAGCTTCATACGTGGCATTCAGCACCTTGCAATGTAAGCATGCTTCCTCCATCAGATCCGCCCCCTTTTATCAGTGCTAGGGTAGTGCCACTCAGCCGCAGTAAGTCAGGCTTGAAGCTGATGTGGGTGAGTACAGATGCATGGATTACATTGTGGGCCCGAAACAGCGACGGATCGCAAGCATCACGGCTTGGCTACTGGCTTGGGTTATATGCACTTTTTGGTGTTTTTACTGCGGCCGGTCTTATTTCTGCGGTCTAGTGAGTTCTTCTACTACGGTGTTGAATCTGACTTATCAAAGCCTGGAGGCTCACCAAGCATCATGCTCGAGGCTCTTACGCTAATGATTATACCCAGCTACATGTACGTGGTGATCGTACCCAAGTCTGCAAATTCTCTCCACCTGACTGTGCTTCGGGCAGTTATACGGTAAAATCGTCAAATTCTTGTTGCCAGTGGCTTGTTCATGTTCTTACGGTAACGACAGAGCTCCAATGTCTTTTCTCGCCAAGACCGACACTGGGGTGTTGGTTAACAGGTATGTCATGACTGTCGCGTAAGACAACAAGAGTATGAACTAACCCATATGTATTTTTCCCATTACAGATTTAGTCAAGACATGCAATTGGTTGACGTGACCTTACCCGGGGCACTCGTGAATGCGAGTTTTCGTCCGTAGCAACTTCAACGCAATCCTCTAGGAAGCTGGTCGCTGACTTGAGAATCATAGAGCTTGCTGCTTGTTTTGCAGTTGCAGCGTTGGCTATTGTCGCTGTTTCCTACTTCGCAGCTGTACTGCCCTTCGTCGCCTGCGCACTTTTCTTCCTCCAGCGCTTTTATCTAAGGACATCCCGGCAGCTTCGACTACTAGAGTAATGCCTAATATTACCTTGCAAATGATGTGAAGTACTAACGCTGGCTTAGCCTGGAAGCGAAAGCACCTCTCTATTCCCACGTTCTGGAGTCTCTCCAGGGCACCGCCACTATACGAGCATATGGCTGGACGAGCAACCACGTCGCCAAGAATCTCGCCCTCCTTGACAGGGCCCAGAAGCCTTATTACTTGCTCCTCTGCATTCAGCGATGGCTGACTCTTGTATTGGGACTGACGGTCGCTGGGCTCGCGATACTGCTCACCACCCTAGGCGTCACGCTCCGCGGCAGACTGGACGCCGGTTTCCTCGGCGTTGCCCTTGTCAGCATGATGAATCTTGGCCAATCCTTGGCTGCCCTTATCACCTTTTGGACCTTGCTTGAGACGTCCTTGGGTGCCATTTCGCGCGTGAAGACTTTCTCCGAGGATACTCCGACCGAGAAACCTCGCGAGATTATGGATACAAGAGTTCTCGCTGGCTGGCCCTCTCAAGGATCGGTTGTCATTGAGAATTGGTCGGCTCACTATAATGGGTATTCATATCTCACTATATACTTTCTGGAGTTTTGTACCAGTCTAAAGCAGTAGCTAACATCATACCACAGTCATCCTGTACTTCGCAACATCGATATTTCGATTCAGGCCGGGGAGAAAGTTGCCGTATGCGGCCGGACAGGAAGGTAAGAGTCACAAGCTTAAATCATTCCACAAGCCATATGACGAGAAACTTACTAACGAAAGTGCCGCAAGTGGCAAAACCTCACTTCTCTTATCCCTGCTCGGCATGGTCGAGGAGTCTAACGGGAAGATTGTTTTAGACGATGTCGATCTTGCATTACTACCTAAAGATATCACCCGCCAGAGGCTCACATGTCTCACACAAGACCCTTTCTTGTTCGGCGGGAGTATTAGACTGAATGCAGATCCGCATGGCGAGGCTACAGATACTGATATCATCTCTGCCCTGCAGAAGGTTGGACTATGGGATATCTTCCGATCAAAGGAGAGCACAGAGACCTCTCGCCCTCCAGAATTCTCGATACTTGATATGAAGATGGAAGAGGACTTCTTGTCCCAAGGGCAAAGAAAGCTTTTCTGCCTTGGCCGTGCGCTTTTGCGCAAAAGCCCTGTCCTGGTTTTAGATGAGCCGAGCAGCGGGTAAGTAACAGATCCTCCCTCTTCTTGGGTTCATATCTGAAAAAAGATATGATGATGCAGTATGAACGCCGACACTAAGTATCACTCGTAATTCACAGTGTTGACGCCAGCACCGAATCTTACATAGAAGCCATCGTCGAGTCGGAGTTTGCGACTAGCACTGTCATCATGGCAACGCACAGTCTCGCTGGTGTTCGTAGATTTGATAAGGTTGTTGTTCTAGATGGGGGCGTGTTACTTGAGTATGGTGAGCCGGAGGAGTTAATGGCGAGGGTTGATGGGGCATTCGCGAAGCTCTATGCTGTGGAACGTTGAAGACCCGAGACTTCTTCTGCGTAAGCAGGGGTGATAACGATACCTACAGCACAGGGCAGGTGTCCCTTTTAGTTTCAAACTTACTTGATATAAGATTCCCAGTTAAGTAAGCCAATAAAAAGGACTATACCTACATAGCAGCCAACCATCAATCCTGCATTGTAGTGTGCCATTTGTAAACCAGAAGACACGGTCTAGAATTATGATAATTTGTGGTAAGTTTTCTACTGGAAAAACGAAGGTACATGAGCACTTCCAACACAACGAGGCACTATATTATCTTTTTGGAGGGCCAATGCAAGGTTTTGGTTCACATCGTGATCGACTTTCTCAGGGGCTGTGTTGTCCATGACCACTGGCGCTCAGTGCGGCCTTTGTTTTCTCGAAGGCGCTCTCCCGACATGACCATTGTCTCGTTCTTGGCAACCTCGGAGCCGGGGGCTTGCTGTGCCCGCACGTTCGGTGACCTCTCCAGTGACCATTTCATCAGTGCCTCGAAGTTTCTGGATGTGTGCTGTGTATGAGTCCAAACTTCTGTACCGACTCGAGCCATTTATGATTCACAAGGGTGGTGTCGGCATTGCACATGACGGCCTGTCGCACGTAGCCAAGGCAGTGTTCTGCCAGAATTCCATTGTTAGTGTCAGTCTTAGGCGGTATACCTGAACCTGAACCACGGTTTTAACCAGTCACAGGCGTAGTTCAATGAGAGAGGAGACCTACCCCAATGAAACTTTTGTGCTCGACTGCTCTGGGAGGGAGGATAGTATTCCGGATAAAGGGCTTTTCGTACTTGATTCTAGACACGAGTCAGCTCTGTAAATAGATGACTCAATCTCATAGACAGAGCATACAATGCAATGGACCTGGTGGAAAACATTGAGGACTTTTACCGAGTAACCGTTCCCAAGCGTAGTATGATCCCGCACAAGGTCGGCCTCGGCCCCTTGCAAGAGTACTGTTGATGCTATATGCAAATGGCTAACATCAGTATCAAAGCAACCAGCAAGAGTACCAAAAAACTGTACCAGCTTCAACATGATCCCATAGACGGTCCATCTCCGGGCCTGCGAAGATTCATATTTTCTCATAAGGCGCGTGCTCTCGGATCAGACCGCCTGCCGAGTTGTAGGATAAAGCGCCGTCGAAGAGTTTGGGTTCGAGTTAGATGACACTAGATTCAGGACCTGTGTCAGTTACTAAATGTAGTTCAAACGATTTGAAATGGCAGACTCGCTGATCCTATGTTTCAGCATAGCGAGATAGCGTTGCCCTCGTTCTCCAGCAGTCTATGAACAGTCCAGCATTGGTGAGGGCCAACACGCCGGTAGAAAGGATCCATGGCCAAAGCCGCACGTGTTGTGCCCTGTAGCGATTATTAACATAAGATTTGGCCGACAACTGGGCGGCTTGTTTATCGTTCAGCAAGTCAGCACGTAGAGACACTGTTGACTCGTTAAAGATGTAATGGTGAAGGTCCGAGCCAGCTGAGTCTTACAACTTTGAGGCGTGCCTGGCCGAAGAGAGGGCTGCTCAACCATTTCTCCAACGGCGCAACCGTAACGGCAACCACTAGGCTTGTTAACTACGAATTTCGCTCTTGTTCGGGTCGTGTTGGATGCGTATTCATGGACTTACCTTGGTTAATGATCCGGAATCGTGTATTAAGTAATACTTTTCGCTCAGAGCTGCTTTACTTCCGCCGTTTGAACATTTCCAGGATACGCCTTCTGGTCGCAAAATTACTGTTTCTTAACAAGACTATCGATCAGGAGCTCTGGATGGGTGAGCATTAGGTAGGTACGTGAACAATACGCTAAATAAAGTGGCAATGTAATCTGTGCTTAAAATTGACTACCAGTTTCACATATCCCACTTCCAGCCCCATGGGGCGCTGCACCATTCCACACCACGGCGATTACAGGTTTAGTTATTCAAGTAACAATTGCAACACATTTAATCACAACTTCACTTGCTGAGTTACGTAGCCAGAGTATGAGTATGAGCCCAGATTAAGGGACATGTGCACGCGAGTCTCAGACGAATCCAGTAACGTTGGGTTACAAAGGCACTGTCTCGTTCTTGTTAAAACCTGGGCAAGTCGACTCTGGATGCACAAGCCATTCATGATGCATCTCTGGTTGTTTCTGCGTGCGAAGCGCGTTCTATGATGGCTCCAGATTCATGATGCTCTGCCATTAATTCACTGTTAATAAAACATCGGACGTTTGTATGGGGGAATTCACGACTTGTAGAAATCTTCTGTTTAGCTAACTCTTTCTTCCATACCTCCTTAGCCAAAGCTATCCCATCCAGTCTAACCTGTACACTCAGCGGTAACCTAAGCCCGGCAACTGAAACAAGCTAGTTACTATAAATATATATCCTACATCCCAAGTTCTCTTTCAAAAACTCTATGTATTATAATTTATTGAATTTAAGCCGAGTTAGAGCCGCTATCCTTCTTCGACTCGCTAGCGACGGCGATGATCGCGGGAGGCTTAGGAACCTTCTGTCGGAAGACATGGCGCTTGAAGAAATAGGGAATAGAGTACTTGATCTCGTGGCTAATGAATTGCTTTGTCGGGACAGAGAAGACCTCTGAAAGCGGGATTAGCACAGCGGTACAATGAGGGAGATGTAGTTAGACTTACGGTCTAACTCTTCCAAGGTGAGTTGCTTAGTCTCTCGGACGAAACAGAAGATCATACCCCAGGCAATGAGGTTGAGTCCAGCGTAGAAACCAACTGTGGCAGAGAGGTCAGTCGCAGGATTAGGACCAGAATCAGCTTGAATACTTACATGCACCAGTTGGAGTCATGGCAGTGCTCATGCGCGGGAAGGTCAAGCTGAGAATACCAGCTGTTGAGCTTGTCAGTCCGTTGCCCTCGATGCGAAATGTTCCCAGACTTACCGAATGTGTTGTTAATGCAGACAACCCAGGCCATTCCTTGCTCACGCTGAATGGTAGGGAAAACTTCGGCAGAGTACTGGAATGCGACAGGGCCTTCACCCAGGGAGTAGCAGATAGTGAATAGGTAGATGAACCTGGTTCGCCGGAGTGTTAGTCTAGCTAAGGGATTCATACGGGTGGTGCTACTCACAAAGCGACCGGTCCAATCTTTGATCCTCGGTCCTCAGTTGGGTTCAATAGAGACAGACCAGCAGCCAGGAGGAAAATGCACATGAGAGGGAAGGTCTAGGGCTGTCAGTCTGTATTCGGCAACTTCGGCCTATGTTAACTCACGATCATGCAGAGAGTCCTTCGCCCCTTGGTATCAATGAGGAATAGGGTAGGGATTGTCGCAATAACTTGAATGGCGCCGTAACCCAACGAAGCATATAGCGCTTCCACAGGCGTGTAACCTGCATCGACGAAAATCGTAGAGCTGTAGAAGGAGATGATGTTGATTCCACACCTAGTCGGGTCGGGTCAGCATAACAAGTCAGAGATGAAGATTGGGAGGGTTCACACATTTGCTGGGCAAGCATTACAGTGCTAGCACCGTAGTTGGCGCGCCTGATTCTGGGGATGGAGAAACAGTCCCAAAGGCGACGGAAGTACCCTGCGCCACGAGCCTCCTTGAGCTCCTCCTCGTAGATGACCCATGAGTAGTAGAAGTCTCTAGCACCGATGATATTATGGGCTCGAAGTTTGCACATGGAGCGGAAAGCCTCAGCGTGTCGGCCATGCTTCATGAGCCAACGCGGGGACTCGGGGCAGAAGAATATGCCGATAGCCAAGATGAAGGATGGGATGAAGGCGGAGCCCAGCTGAAGTCGCCAGGAGATATCGCCGGTGTCCTTAACAATGACATTTGCGCAGAAGCCCAGAAAGATGCCTGCGACGACCCAGAGTTGCCAGAACATGACGAGTGCGCCACGGACTCGGTGGGGAGCCATTTCAGCGGAGTAGATGGGCACGGTGGCGTTCTTCGCGCCGATGCCGATGCCCATCACGAAACGCGCCGCGAAGAGACCTTGCCATGTTTGCGCGAAGCCGGAGCCGATCGGGGTAGCGGTAAGGCACAAAGCCGTGATGAAGATCTCGCCGCGCCGGCCGAAGTAGTGGTTTAGAGGATCGACAATAAAGGCGCCACTGCGTGCGAGTAGTT